TGCGTATTTCTGGCGAGAAGTTTGCCTGCCGTTTATTTGGTGGGAGGATTGGTATTTCAACTACGCTAGGTATAGTAGTCTGCGTAGGCGTCGCTGGTTCCGTGGTTTCCATATCTATCTCATTCTGGATCTGAGCTTCGATTTCTGCTCTCGCCTGGGTGCCTGGCACGTGTACGTCGATAGTATCACTATCGGGTGGCATTTTGATTACTAATCCACCTGGTCTGTGTGTTTTTCGGTGAGAAATAAGACGTGTCTAAAGTGATCACTTTAACAGCCTATAGCTCCACAGCGCGTGGCGTGCACGCTTTAAAGGTGATTGTAATCGATTTCTCGCGAGGGGTTTATATATATTTGACTAAAATTACACCTATTCTAGAAAACTCGAAGTTGTCTGATTTTGTGCGAAGAGTGATGTCAACTAGCCTTACTTATCCTACATGTTTGTTTTTTACCGAAGGCATCGCCACGTCCTGAAATTTATACGGCCTCTGGCTGATTGTCTTCTGCTACCTTATCTTCACCTTGTAGCCCGACGATCAATATCAGAGTATAAATGATGGAATGGTGTCGACTTAAGGTTCACTGACAGTGGCGAAAAACGACAATTCGAGTCTAGTTTGCTGTAATGTCATCCATTTCTAGATTTTTTGGTGATGTCTGAGGCCACCGGTGAAGAAATTGGGGGACCGGAAGAAAAAAAAGCACATTGTTAACGGGATGTGGGTACTGACTGGACTTCGGGGAAGACCCTGTTCACATGCATGCATGACCCGCAGGTGATGATACGCGAATCACAGGTGTGTGTAAGATCCAATATTCTCATTGGTTCGCAAGACGATGAGAGTATGATGGAATCAGCCCCTGAGTCATGAGTTTATCGAGCTGGTCTCATGATGATTTCGGTCATTTGAGTGCACATCTACACAGAACCAATGGTTAGAGGAACACTCCCTCTTTCAACGAATTCACAGGCTTATCTTGCGTTGCGTTTACCTACATGGAGCGTCAGCTGCAGTATCTCGCTCATTGGCCAATGGGAAGCCCGTACTCACAGAGGGGCACGTCGTGACGCAAAGCTGAAAGAAGTAATGATCACAACAATTCTTGGTGTATTAGAGCTTTGAACGAAAAGAACCAGTAGAATTGTCTTATGTGTAAAAGCGGCGGCCTCGGATGAGCGCCTATGTCGCAAGTGCAAGCTTTCGCTTTTCAACTTGCATCAAGTAGCGCCACTGTGATCTTGTGATTGGTGTGAACAGCTCATCTTGCATCTTGCCGACTCAGCCTTGCATCTCAGCTTGCTGCCCAGGAGTTCTGCATCACCCGGTCACAAGGTTGAGAGTGTATCGGAATGCCGTGCCGTTGGTAACGATTGACATCTATAATTGGGTCGGCTTTCCGAGTAATCAATTGGTTGGACAATAGTAACAGTCAGTGTATGCTATACCCATATTCCATATGACTAGAAGTCTCAAGCATCAATCGTGAATGTTCAATTCAAATGCAACGTTAATGCGCTTACATTGCATTTTGCCACTGCTACCTGCATATCTTCATGTATGCACCGTTTTCAGTGCATACTCTGGGACTCGTCACGATACTTATTTCGCATTCAATCTTTGAGTGATCCCTGTCGTCATGGTGTCGCTTTAAAACGACAACGGTGTCTGCATGCGGGAGTGGTGTGAAGTCTCCACATTAATATACCCCACATCGTAAAACGTCAAGTCGTATTCTATCCGTAGAAGCCTGGAGTGATGCGTGGGATCATGAGACTGGTGCAACTGTAAAGATGTGGATTAGTTAATCGGTGAAGTGTGTACCAATCACGGAAGGTGTGTCAGGTAGAGTGGGTGACATTTAGGCAGTACTACTCTCTACATAGTTGCCTTTCGACCGACCGGCTGAGTACACTACCACAACAACAACGTCGAAGAGAACTTTTTTACTTTCTCCTATTGTCTTCAGACACTTAAGCACAGATAGACTGCGTATTTTCAACGAATATTCCTTCCATACTAGGGTGGAGATGTACTCCGCAAGTCTCAGGAAGTTTGCTAAGCACACTACTTTGACGAATCCAAGAAGGTGCTCGAATGTAGTGTGAGGTTTAAAATAGCGAATGACGGACCCATAATCTAGGATTCTTGCGCAACTGTGCAAGTGTACTCTTACGCCAGGTTGTCTCAAACGCCTCTTACCTTGTTATACATACTGCATATGCATGCATGGTTTATCCCTGATTTGGGAAATGGCTCGGTCACTGGGAATCTAGACTTGCTAGTGAATCTCATAACTTAATATACCGAGCAGAGCCTCAACTTTTCATGTTCCAGCCGCCAGATATGACTCAACTTGATGGGTAATCTTGGACGAGACTCGAGTTACTGGTAACTCTGACACTTATCCTCAGTCAAGCGATTCGTTTCCTCTCTTGAATTGGTTAATCTGGCTGGCAGTATCAGGAAAACTGCAAAATCATTCTCTCAATATATAGCAGATATTAAGAAAAAAAGGAACGAGATGAGAGACCAACAATAGCATCTTCCAAGTTCAATACTGTCTATGAACAATGATAGTCCCATAATACGCCTTTTGTAGAGTATATGGAATGCTTAACTTCTTCCACTTCGATACGATTCCAAGCACCCATGAACTGTAGTTGGTACGAGTTCGTAGCGGGTTATTACATTGATATATCCTCCTATTTGATGCACAATGTCTGGTTCTTGAACGAACATCCACTATATACCAAATGATTAGCACTAATTACACGAATATATCAAGCTAACATAGTGACAATAACTTTCGTATATGCTATTGAAGGATATGCCTATTTGCAAATATGTCAGTATCATTGTTCATATTGACAATACAATATAACACAAAATATGATAGTCAATACACTATATTGCAGCCAACCTGCAGTGTACCTCCTGTTAGTAACTTATCGTAAAGCAGCTGCACTATTGAAGAGGCCTTGGTCTAAACTCTTTCGATACAGTTGTCAGTACGCTTCCTATTCTTGAATGAGGCTCAATGTTAAGCTCAAGCTAACAGCCTATAAAACACTAAAATTATTCGATAGACTTCTGGTACAATGATGTATTCAAATTGCTACAAGACTACCTACTGATAGTCTATTGAGACTTGATAGCAGTTCCTTGCTATAAAGCCTTCAGGAGTACGAGCAGAGCCGGGTAAGCGTCGAAGTTTCACTGATAATTTTTTTCCATCCGGAAAATGAATTGCACATCGATCAGTAAGAATATTTGAAAGAAACAGTGTGTGTAGGTTTCGTTCCTTGGTGTATTTCCTTCGTTCAAATATCTCTCTGATGGACCAAATACCATGCATTTGGACTAACCGGATAGTGAGCAACAGTTCTGAATCCTGCGAACAAACAATTCCACACAATATCTGAACTGGCCTTCCTGGTAGATCATGCTTTATCATTTGTATCTTGAATTCTGAATTTTGTCCAGTTTGTGTTGATGTTAACGAGTGGCTCTTGCTACCCTTAGCATCCCATGCTTCTACATGGAACAAATCACTGTGAACAGAAAACACGACTTCGATGGGGTCTTGACATGTTAGTTCACCTGGTCCTGGACAAATGAGGAGCTTCGTCTTCTGGAGTAGAGGCAAGAGGCCCCCAAGATCTGGCAAAATAACCGGGAGGGCTTGTAAGCGGAGGCATGCATCCACGCCAGACTGTCGTTGTAACAGGAGACAAAAAGCACCCTGCGGATACTTTTTCAAGGTATGATTGAGTACCGCTACATGGGTTATACCGACTCGTGGTGTCGCTCCATCCAAAAATTCTAGCTTGCTAGAAACATCTTCATAAGCCAACAGCGGAAGCGCGGTGGATATTTCGTTGCGGAACTTGGTAACAGTCGTCATAATCTGTTCATGTGCTTGTGTGCTCCACCTCTCAGATGCAACAATATCGCGGTATAGAAAACTCGAAGGTGAATTACGACCTTCCCGCGATGAACAAAGAATGCAATTCAATTTGTCGCAGAAGCTTGTCGGCGAATTGGCCAATAGAGGTTGGTCATATTTGTGTTGACTATGGCGAAATAAGAACATCGAGTGGTCGGCTGTGGCATTGTAAATAGCTTCTTGGAGCCTGAAGAAGGCTTTCTCCCGCCCTTCTCCATAGAGAAGTGGCATGTTGACGTCAAATAGACCCAGGAGCGAATATGCCTCATCCTCTTCCCTAGTGACATTCCGATGGGAGGCCCACGACAATCTCTCCGCCGCACTGAAAGAATCAACAGGGTGAACACGAAGGAGGACGTCTGGGTCGATTGAGGTAGTGTCTGCAATCTCTTTGTAACGTTCGAATCTCGTACCGATGGCGGACCAGTTCTCTGCAAAGAACTCAACACATGTTGGGGCAATCAACTCTTGCAACGTCCAACCACGTGTGAACCATTCGCTTTTAGCGAACATCAGACCCCAGCCGGCTTCTGAATCGGGAACATCTGCTAGATAAACGTAGCAAATATTTGACTCTGCGTAGTATCTCCACATGGAATTGATCGCTTCTTGCAACTCAGCCGAACTAGATTTGTCGATGCAACAACTGTCAATCCAGATCCAAGTGTATCCATCATTGAGTGCTAGTTTGCAAACTCCTTGTATCTGCGCAAACCCTTTTTTCGTCCGCGTCTGGCTTTGAGGATGTAGAATAGGTGTACTGCTTATATCCGCAAATGTGACCTCTTCAGTGCTCCACCGATGAGAAAGAATTGCGTAGTCTGGAACCTTGCCTGGTACATAGGGACGGCTGAGCTCAAGAGACTCTGTGTTCAAAAGCCTCATGGTGAGATTAGGCTGCTTGGTTTATGGTTGGTCAGGGTTGCGAAAATAATCAGGATATGAAGAGTTGATAAGACCGAGTAAGCTGGGGACAGGGTAAGGCTTTGGTTGGTTATGAAGCATCTTGATTTTCGGTCGACGGGGCAGTGCACGACGCTGCTGCTGCTTAGTAGTACATTGTGCGATCGCCTGTTGTCCTGGTTCCAGCTGCAGCATATTGCATCACGCTAAAGTGAATAGCAGGGTCTCCGCTCAGTACAATAGGTGACGCTATAGAGTATATTATAGAAAACGGCCCATTTGAGTATTCTCAAAGAACAAACTAACAGCTTAGTTAATGGAAATAGCACAAATTCCGTCCATAGAACGCTCAGTATGTACACTCTTGATGGAGATGATTTCCAGCGAATAGAAGCAGAGAACCATGCAAGCAGAGCAGCAATTAGTATTATGATTGGAAACCCCATGAAGAAAGGTTTCAACAAGGGAGAAGGAGCTAGTATGAACAGATGATATGCTGTGAGCAGCAGTAGGATGGTATCCTAAAATTCGTGGAGGCTACAACATGCAGTAACAAACTAGTCGTGCCCGTAACTACAGCATCATCATTAAGATATTGACCACCTCTTATTGAAGCACCATTCGCTTCTGTCATATTCAAAAAATAGCATGCAAAGTCTTTCATCTCATTCTTCACCACCCCACCAAAACCCACCAGCATCACCGTACCTGCTTGATTAGTGCAGCGCCGAATATCGCATTCCTGAAAATCATCCGCACCATTCACTATCCTCGTCTTATCATACTATTACTACCGTCAATATCCTACTCCCAAACACTCACTCATAAGAGGCATCTACTTACATACCAGCCGCCACGGCAGTGATTCACGCTCACCGCACACGTCTTCTCCAGGAAGCTGCAGGAGAAGCCATCTCATTTGCTCATTGAACAACAATCGCCCTCGAAATAAAGCGATCCGTTATATCGGGGCAGCGTATAGAGTCTTACTTGAGTCTATCATATTTGACCTTTAGTCTTGAAAGCCAATGTTTCGCAGTGACGACAAGTAGACACCCATCATTCTGAGCATTACCCCACTGCCGACTACAGTGTCTTGTATTTTCGGAAAGCATTTACAAGACTGTCGTTACTCCATGACTGGAAGCATTGGATGCTAAGTGCCACGCAAGCTGGGTCATTCGACCAACCGAGGAACTATGCCATAGAACTTTAGTTGCACATTGAATCTCGCTAACACGCGTGACTGACAACGCTGTAACGAAATGCACTGTTTTTCATCTTCCGTTTTTTACTCTATAGGCCGCCGTATCTAGACCGACATATTCATTAAGCAAACTTGCAACCTGAATCTATCAGAGCAGCAACAAGCCAGTTCGAAGTCAGTATCATTCTGAAAAGGCAAGAGCATCCCCATCTCCCCCCCTTAACACCTTTACGCCGTCAAATCAACCCAAGCCTTAACAATCCTCTGCGTCGCCGCCCCAAACGGCCCCTCCCCATCCACCTCCAAAGTCTGACACTCAAACTCACTTACCACCGTCCCCCTAAACGGCTTCTGCACACCCTCCATCCAGACACGAATCACCTTATCCGCCATGGCCTCAATCTGAATCCCCCGAAACCCCATCAGCGCCGCCTCACGCTGCAACCACCTTGCCGCAGCCCCCATAACACCCCGCCCTTCATAGTCGCCCCGCGTAGACGTCGCATTGCGCATGAGCACCTGGCGCGGCGCAGTAGGCTTCCACGACGCCGGGTCCCGCTGATCCCGCTGTTCGAGTGCGCCGTAGAGAATCGGAAATTCAGGCCAAGCGGCTAGCAATGGTTTCATTTTTTTTGGACTAAGCGGGGCGAAGCCGTCGTAGCTGAGGATTATGCTTACAAGCGGGAAATCCATCTGGTTCAGTAACCGTTTGCTTTCTGCTGCGCGGCCTTGCGTCTTTTCCACACTTTCTGTGTTGAGTTCGGCAGCGTCCCAGAGGAGGGCGCCGCCAGTGGCGCGGGCTGTGTCGGTTCTGAATTCATATTCTGTGTCGAAGACGCCGAAGGAGAGGCCTGAGTCGATTTGGTGGCGGACTAGGTATTCGAAGTTGAGAGAATTCTCGACGACCCAGCGGCCGAGGTCGCGGTCGGGCCATATTTTCTGCCAGACATTCGAGTGGAAGCCGTGGCTGTGAGCGAGGATCGCAGTGGCCCAGGGGAGGTGGACCGGCTTTAGTTTTCGGATTTCATAGCGTGGGGCCAGATTTGAGGGGTTAGAGGGTGTGGGCACACGGGTGTTTGTTAGTTCTGACATTTCTAGCAAGATTTAGATTTGAATTTAACAAGTGTGTTGGTGACGATGTCGATATGCTGGTAGTAAGTAGAGTAACTTACACAATATAAGCGACTCGTTAATTGAATGTTGACTGGCCTTGCATAGATCCTGCATGCTAAGAAAAAAAGATTGTTAGGGCTTCTGCAGCTAATCTCCTTCATCTTGGACCATTACTATCAGAACTTGACATGAGAGAACAATGGATGCAAGATGATTATGTGAGAATAAGACCTAGTTGTCTTTCGCTGAGCAGATCTTTTCGGCCAATAGCACCTAACTGATACTATGCTCTTCTCGCTGATGTTCAGTCAGACCTACCTATGCATGTGATGTCATGGACTGAAACGTAGCTGGTAAACATCCCCTCGCCTACATACACTATAAAGTACTACTGCACCAGTACCCCTGCAATTGCACCAAAATGCGATCCATATGCCGATGGGTCGCTGGATGGCACAGAAATATATATTGTTGTCACAGCACTAAACATTCCGATGATGACTGTCGCATTTTAGTGCATCATGAGTTTTACTCATTGAATTCGAAGCCCCACATTATCGACTACTATTCCCGGCATGTGAAAGAGTCTGCATAGTACCATTGTGGTGATCCTTGATGAAAACGGCAATTAAATGACTCAGAACAATACGGGACATCTAAAGCAAACTCAAATGCTCTTACTTCAGCCCTTGACCCTCTTGTAGCAGCGCAATCCCTTGTTCCTTAAGCTTGAATTTTTGAATCTTACCGCTCGCTGTTTTTGGATAATTGTCCACCCAAAAGACGTATTTCGGAACTTTTCTATGTCAGCTTGCTATACAGTTCTAAGTATTGATATCGACGTACCCAGATGATGGCTCAGCTTTTCCCTGACCCAAGTCCTCACTTCATCGGCTGTTACTTTTCCATCTTCTCCAGCATGTCTTACGATAAAAGCTGCAACAACCTCGCCATATCTCTCATCCGGTAGCCCGATGACACTGACTTCGCTGACGGCTGGATGAGCAAAAAGACAATTCTCAACCTCAAGCGGATGAATGTTCTCTCCGCCCTTGATAATGAGGTCCTTAATTCTTCCGGTGATTTTGATGTACCCTTCCTCGTCCATGGAGGCCTCATCACCAGTGTGCATCCACATGACACCATCCTCGTCTGGTTGAAGAACTTCTTCCGTGCGCGCCGTGTCGCCCCAATAGCCTTTCATAAGGAGATAGCCCGAGACGGCTAGTTCACCACGCTGGCCTACATCGAGTGTTTTCGACCAATCTGAAGCGTTGACAACTTTTGCGCGAACATGTGGAAGAAGCCGGCCCACAGTGTTGATGCGCTTCTCAATAGGATCATCCGTGGTGGTCATGGCTGAGACCGGGCTTGTTTCCGTCATTCCATAGCAAATGGTCAGCTCCGTCAGGTTCAGTATTTTATGAAGCTTGCGCATCAGCTCAGCAGGAATGGAAGATCCGGCTGCGATTCCAGTGCGTAGGTACTGGAAGCCTTCGTATGGTACTGCGCCATTGGCTAGGAGTTCCAGCTCCGCCACAAACATTGTGGGAACACCGTATAGGGCAGTGCACTTATGTTCTCGGACAGCCTCAAGGGTAGCAAGAGCATTGAAAGCCTCGGTAGGGAAGACTATAGCGCTCCCGTGGGTTGCTGTAGCCATGTATCCAAGAATACATCCGAAGCAGCTGTGCACAGTCAGACGTTATGTGGTGCAACCTGTACGGGATGACTCACTGGAATAACGGAGGCGGGCAACAGACAATGTCGCTCTCTGTCAGCAGCATCCTATCGCCGATACTGTTGCCATTATTCAAAATATTCATATGGGTCAAGCACGCAGCTTTTGGCATACTGGTTGTACCCGAAGTGAACTGGATGTTGACAATATCATGAGGGTCGAGTCCTTGATCCTGTAATGCTGAACCCTGGCCACCATCCTCAATTACATCCTGAAATCTTCCCAGGCACTTGTACTCGTCCAAATTTATCCTCCCTTGGGCATTGTCCACCACCACGACCTTCTTTAGCGAAGGAACGAGTTCCGACTCGAGTTTCGAACCGGCAAGATTAGGTATCAAGTGTGTAAGCAACGAGATGTTGGGACGCGGGTCTTTTCGTGGAAGGTTTGTCTCGGCTCCAATTATAAGATGGGAAGCGTCTAAGTGATTGATGGCGTTTAGGACTTGTGGTGCGTTAAAAGAAGGATTTAGGGGTACCTATGGGTCAATTAGTTCATGATCAATCTTCCATAGCCCCAACCGCATACATACCAGTATTGCTCCCAGTTTGAAAAGTGCATACGTGATCTTTAGAGTCGTCAGCCGTCGTTCTTCTCAATTACCCATACAACATACAGTAGCAAACTCAATATTGTTTCCCAAGCTCGCTGCAACCCTGTCTCCCTTCTTGACTCCCAGATTCTGTAATCCTCTTGCTAGTCTGTTCGAGTCGCGATCCAGCGCATCGTACGTCAGCCGTATGCGCTGATGGTGCGAGATAACTCTATACGAAGCTTAGCCAGAACGATGTCAAGATTGGTCAAGACACACGCACGCATCACGGTCACCATACTGTCTCACAACACCTGCAAAGTGCTGGGGAACGGTTTGTTCGAGCAGTGGAGGCTGTGTTACGCCATCAGCAAAGCCGAGAGCTAACACTTAGAGTTATGGGAAGAGGGTCCAATTGACATGCGTACCTCGGTAGGGCCAATGCTATATGCTTGGGTGAGGAGCCCTCTTTGCGCAATTCGCACAGGCTTAGGGCATCTTGTGGCGCGAACAACGAGCTTCCGAAGCATCTTCAATTAAAGAGGGCATCAAGAAGCCGGAAAAAAGAAGGAAAGACATGGCTCGCATCGGTCTTATGTGGAGACGAGATGGATGTGTCTAGTCAGTGCTGCTCTTCGGAACTGAGCCGCAGTCCACAGTTCCGGGCGGACATGCGGGGTAGCTTCCGGGCTGTGGCTTCCCCCTCCCGTTTGACCAAAATCCCCGGAGAAACTGCCTACACGCCCGCATTGTAGAGTTATACAATTTTTTCTTCTAGTAAATTAGTCTTTGTGTGAAATTCTAGCACTTTAGCATATAAAATTCCTGTATACGAATGCGTGGTGGTGAAGGCGGCTAATTGCAAATAGGTCCACCAAGAGGCTTCACATATCAATGATTGGCATTCCCAGTAACAACACAGGAAGATATAAAAAGAGTCAAACATGCATGAGTATTTCCTTTCTTACAGTCCAGTTAAGACTACTGTAGATTGAAGACTTCGGGCTATATCCTTACACAGAACAATGACAACACTCACACTCTGCTCTCCACCATAGTATGAACAAACCCAGACTTCACGCTCTCATAATATACCAAAACATCTACCCATCTCACCTATCAAAGAAACAAAACCCTCAAGCACCTCCCCCCCACACACACCAAACCCCTACAACCCCAACCCCTCCAATAAACCTAACCGCCGTGCCCCCAGCCTGCATCACATACGTACATAGCCGCCCTATCCCCCCAATCACTACGGCACCAACACGCCATGTACCACCACCCCTCTCCTACCTTATCCTTATCTCTCATCTCCCTCGCCTTCTCCCCTCCTTAATCTCAACCTCCTAAACCTCTACCTAAAAATGCTCCCGGCCCCCCTCATCCTCGCTACCACCCTCCCCTCGTTCCTCCCCTCCCCAGCGGCCCCCCTCACAAGCTTCTTCCACAAAATCGCCTTCGACCTCGACACCATCGGCCGCACGCGCCAAACAGCCTTGCTGGAAGAAACCGCACGCGTAGCCTACGCCGCAGCAGGGATCCCCGTCAACATCGCAGTGTGGAACATGCACATACCCGAGACGCATCATTTTGAGCGGATACTGGAGAGTGGGTTGCAGCCTATGGGGTTAGGTGGGGGATTTAGGGTGGTTGTTTTTCAGGGAAAGGGATGGTTGAGGAATCAAGGGGTGCTGGGCGATGCGGAATGGAGGTGGAGTGGGAAAGGGGTGGTTGTTAAGGGGAATTTGGTGGAGTTTAGGGATGTGGATGCGTGGGGGTGGGGGGTGATGGATGGGATGGGGGAGTGGGTACAGAGGGTGTTGTGGTAAGTTAAAAAGGGGCGGCGATGTGTTAGTGTGTCTTTTTTGGTGGTAGTAGAGGGTCATTGATGAGAAGAGAGTAAGATCAAGAGATCAAAAGTTGAGCGCTAGATAGCAAAATGTGCTAGACTGTGCGAAAGCAAAAACTCCCAATGACGCCTCCAAATGCTCAAACCGTCAACGAGAACTTAATTTCGTGAAGTGTTTGCTATCGCTCAAACTCAAGCACCTTTTTGCTAGCATCGCTCCCTGTTCGATCTCTCGGCTTCATTGCTTCTTCTCCTGCACCAGTCGGTGATAGCAAGTCAGGGGGAACCTCGCCTTTTGATGCACCTACGCCAGCTGTCTCAGCGCCTTCCAGAAGATCAAGATCTTTGACATCTACGTCTTCCTCCTCTTCTTCATCATCCTTGCCATGTCGTGCTTCCTTGTCAAGTTCCTTTTGAGCCTCGTCATACCTTCTTCTGACCTCTGTGGCAACTCTCATGCCATCATTAACAATGTTGTCAAGCATGCCTCGGAGCCCCTTGCCAGGTGGTACAACACCGACGCCAGCTCCACCAACAACACCACCTAAGCCTGCAGCGCCTCCCTGCTTTCCAGCATTGGCAAAGGTTGTGAGGTTGTGGAAGCTAGACGCCGAAGGAAGCGTCTCATCAGCGAGGCGGAACGATGAAGAGAAGCCAACCTCAAAGAAGTTTAGCAGCGCTTCATCTGCGAGAATGACCATACGGAAGGTAGGAAGCGTAATATGGAGAGGCTTGTTGGGGTCCAGCGCCAGATTTGCCGACTTTGCTTTCTCGCTTCGTCCTTCCAGATCAGAATCCATTGTACGATTTGAGGGTGTGGGTGATAATGGGTTGTTTTCTGACTTCTCAAGTTTGGCCGATTTTGCTTTCGGAGTGCCAGGCTCAGAGCCAAAGTCTATTAGGTCATCTTCGTCACTGTCGCCGATCGCAAAGTTGTCAACGTCGTCCTTGATCTGATCCATGTCTCGGCCTGCCTGGTTCGAGGGGTGATCAGGGTCGGCATATTCGAAGCAATTGCGAATGAATGCAGACACGCTGCTCAAAAACTGCTCGTCACGGCCCGCGCGCTCCGAGCTGGACCCAGAACTTACGTCGAGCGATGAAGCAGCAGGGCTTGGGTCGTGTATGCCGCGCCGCGATAAGAATAAAAGGGCCTCTGAGATCCTCAGAATACCTTCGCGGTCTACTTTGCCATCGCCGTCATCGTCGTAAAGCTCAAAAAAGTAGCTGATGTTGGACATGATATCTTTAGTTCCCTTGACATTGGCAAAGCCAGTGACAACGTTCTGCAGTGACAGCGAGTCTGTCATGTCGACATCCCAACGTCGGAACAGGCGGCGCATGAATTCGTGGTCTGCAGGCTCTGGCCCTGAGCCCCATGGGGACATGGGCGGTCGTTTTCTCATACTATTTCCAAAATATGAATGTGCATTTTGGTTACCGCTGGATTCAGGCGGAGAGGTTGGTGAGTCGGTAATGGCCCATTTTGCGATACCTGACTAGCCCGTTAGCAGAGGTATCCAGATGTTGCTAAAAGTTGACAGACAACTCACCAGCAAGAAATTCTCTAAAAGCATCGTAATCCATCTGGGTAGGACTGGGCCCGAGCGCTACTCGCCCCTTCTCCGCACTACCGGAAATACCCGTTACGACTTCAGTCGCCTTCATCCTGCTGGCCTTGGCTTTGCGCTCAGCTTCCTGCTGCATAATCTCGGCTCGTTGTTGTCGCTCGTAGAGTACGGCGTAGAATTTATCGTACAGGAATCCCAGATCGTTTAAACTCAACTTTTTGCTGTCTGGACCGAGGTTCCTTATCGATGTGCGTTTGGCAAAACTCTCTATATTCTCTAGTACAGCGTCTTTATGTTTGGCGCGCTGCTCTGAAATGGTGTTTTGCGTAATGCCAGCAAATTCCTTAAAGGCCACAACCATGAGTTCCTGGAATCGGGTGACAGCACGTAGCTTGGGGTTTTCCGACTTTGGATGTGCGGATTCGTCAAGTCGAGAGAAGTAAGACTTCAAGACGGAGATAAAAGAGCCGTCGTCTGTGGCGTCGAGTAATTCCTCACCATTTATGCGAAGGATAGCAAGACCGATTTGAAAGAGAACCTTTGGGCCTTCGAGGAAGAAGACGTCTAGAACACGAAAAGCAAAGATCAGAGGCATAGAGTTGATATAGAGCGAAAGAAACCACGGCAAAGAAACAACGGATAGCTGTACGTCGGACTTGACGAGATGGTCCCAGAGTATGGGCATAGTCTTCTCCACAAGAGATTCGAAAACCTTTTGGTCGAGGAGGGTGCCGTACATGGTTTGCGAATAGTACCCGGGAAGAAGGCGATCACACAGCACAGAAAGAAGGAAGAAGGCCTGTGATTCGGACATGTATCTTTATTGGTTAGAATCAAGAAGCTGCATGTCGAGGGGCACACATACATCAACAACGCTGCGACTACAATGTTCATCGCCTGGCAGTAGCCGACTTCTTCGTTTGTCCAGCTGTATGCCGTCAATACCCTCCGGAGCCTGCCAATACCCTCTTCACTCTGGAAGCCTGGGTACTCGGGCAAACTCCTATTCAGGTCCTTCTCAATCTCATCTATAGCCAGCGACTCTCGCCCAGAGTATTTTTGCAATGTTTCGGTATAGAGGTTCGGATTCTGCAGGCGGAGAAAAAAGGCCCCCGAAGTGAGTTCCCACATTTCACCTCTTAAACGATTGGGTAGACCGACGCGGATGAGTTTGTGGAAGGTGGGCTGTCGGATCAGGGTTGCACTTCGGCCGTTGTCTGTTGCACATTAGTAATGCTTTTGTGCATGAACTGAGTTCAACTTGCCTTTCAAGTATTCACGCCAGAGACGTATCTTTGTCGCATCTCTAAGCTTCCTTGCATTTCCAGGGTATCTGAATATCATGCCCAAGCCTGTATCTGGATGTTCCCTTCCCGGCTTGCCATCCGCGCCCGGTTTCTTTCCCTCGTCGTCGGTGAGCAAATACTCGGAGTAGCACTGAGCTACCACCTTGCGTAGATTCTCCACCTCCTTGACACCTTCCCTCAAGCCCTTCTTGAGGCCATCGCAAAACCGCTCGCATGCCTGCCGCGAGCCGGCAAGCTGAATCGTAAGCTTCTGCCCAGCAGGCGCTTGTGACTTGGAGTCTGGTGTGCCGTTCCATGTGGTAATTGCGAGGGCAAACATGTAGCTCTGGCTATGCAGGCGCTCTACGCGCCGTATGCCGCATAGTGGTAGGGTGAAACCATTGCCCGCCGGTCCCGCACCATGAGTTTGGCCTGTGAAGCTGCTCGAGGAGCTCAAGCTTGCCGTGTTGATGAAGCTTGAGCCCTGCGTAGAGAAGCAGAGATACTGCTCACTAAGATGTAGTTTGCCCACATAATGATTGCCCTGGCCGCGGTCCTTGTCGGATGTGACGTCGCCGTTACCCCTCGTGGAGTGGTGGGGTTGGAGTGTAAGCTCGGCGGTGATCTCCTGGAGGGGATTCTGCGAGTCGGGAAGTCGGAACTGGTAGCGAAAAAGGGTGGCTTTGGAGGGCCTTCGGTCTGTCGATGCGGGAGCAGCGATGGTGTTGAGCGTGGGTTCAATGTACTGTTGGGCCTTCTGCACCAGGTTCGAGATGTTGAACATGGCTTCGGCCCGGCCGCGGGTCAGAGACAGAGGAAAGTCGGTATAAAGCAGACGCAAATCACTGTTTGTGCTTCATTGCGCGACAGGAAATGCCCTTGTTGGTCGGCTTGCAGAGGGCCCTAGAGCTTATGCAGGGCGGGAACTGGGTGGGTGGAGTGTTGCACCTGCCACAGCGCACGGCCACAGCGAGGCTGAAATCTGGCCATGACTAAGACAAAGTGCGCCGGCCTGGTCTAGGATGGCCTGGCCACCATCAACCACCTGTGGGGAACTGGGTTTGGGGCTACGATGGAGAGACACAAGCACACGGCAGATCAAGTCACGAGCGCAATTATGGGGAGCAAAGAGGTGAAGAGGTTCATCATTGTCGTCTATCTGTAACCACCTTGACGTAGCTGGGCGCATACGACGCATTTCAACGTCAAAATGAACGCGGCAAGGTATATGCAGTCTACTAGTCTTCATCACATGCGCTTACGTGCAGGTGTAAGCTCCGTCAACCCGGAGATCCGCACCCTACAATATCGGATTAGCAGCTGCTTGTTAACTGCATCTAGGCACTACTCACCGTAACATATAAGCTAGCGTCGCTGGACAAGAAAGTGACAGCACCCATCAGGTCCTCGGGACGTCCCATCTTACCGACAGGAATCAGCGATGTCCACTGCTTCTGGAGTTCTGGGTTGTCGTCGAGAATCTTCTTGGTCCTGCAGCACCATTAGCATCGTTTTGGTTGATGACAAAAGATTTACGTACAATGCAGTAAGCATGTATCCAGGGGAGATGCAGTTCACGCGGATTCCTGCACCCGCCCACTCAACGGCCAAACTAGCTGCCAAGTGTCGCACCGCTGCCTTTGCAGCATTGTACGGGGCTTGTGGCTGCGGGACATTGACAATGGAGCCAGACATGCTGCCAATCATGACGATGCTTCCCGGCGCCTTCCTCTCCATGAGATGCTTTGCCACTGCCACGGCGTATAGGTATGTGCCGTCGACGTTGACGCCCCATAGCTTCTGCATGCGGTCGTGGGGGTAGGATATGGCATCGTAGTTCTCGGTGAAGCCAGCAGATGTGACGAGGTTGTCGACCTTTCCATGTCGTTTCAAAATCTCGGCAAAAGACTGGTTGACGGAGGTTGGACTCGAGACATCACAAAAGTGAGCTGTGACCTTTGGTGTCCTGTGTCTTGAGTTAGTTGAAGTGGGATGTGGAGAGGAAGAATTTCCAACCTTCTCGATCCAGGGTTCTCCTTCTTGTAGACATCAATGAGCCCCTGTGCGGATCGCTCTCCTTCTTCTTTGTTCATGTCAACAATGGCAACGTCGGCACCAGATGTAACCAGTGCCTGGGCCATGACCAGACCCAGACCTCGAGCTCCACCAGTCACGACGGCTACCTTGCCCTCCATGGAAAAGGAGGCCAGCGTGCGCTTCGAGTGCTCGCCTCCACGGCCTACGACAGGATTTGAAGGCGGTAGGTCCTTCTCTTCTGGGTACTCTACGACAATGTCGTCTCGAGTTCGCGCATACTGACCCTCGTGGTCGCCACTCTCGCCAGGCTCGCCTGACGTCGTCGCTGCATTGACTGAGTCTTCGTTCTGGGAATCTTTATCCAAACGACTGGGAGAGGAGGTAAAGTGCCGAATTGAAGAAATGGCTGGCTGTACGGGTCGGATGGCTGCTCGAGGAGCCTGTACCGTAGCCGCGCGGGCAATGTGCCGAAGTACCTGAGACCTGAACATAGCAATTGTAATACACAGATGCAGCGGTCAGAGAGTCGTAGAAGCCGCCCTCGCAGAAATCAAGCTGCCAATGGCAAGATAAAATGGAAGCAATACCACGAATGGGTATGCAGGAGTGTATGGATTCAAGGCAAGGCGAGGCAGCCCAAAAGCGGTGAAGCAACCCAAAGGTCGAGCAGAATTTGGGCAGGGGCAGTGGAAGCAGGCGGAAAGTTCACGATGTACACAGCAATTGACACGAGGTATGAAATCATTCGGTCCTTTGCACAGCTTGAGCTTCGTGGCCCGCCGTGCTGCTGTTGGTTGAACGCCTCTGACGACAGGACATGCAGGGTCGGCTTAAGCGAGCCCCAATCAAGTATCCCGCGAAGTCTATCCCATCTACACGCGTTCAATGGCATTCTCCGCTCCATCACAGTCTCCATCTTTATTACACACCGATAAGGCCAAGAGTGGATTTGCCCTGGTTGCGCCCGCCCTTCTCCACACACACCCTTGGTCCGGAGGAGCTCCAGCAAATGCTGACCGCTGGCCACCCCCACGTTCCAAGAAGCAAATAATCATAGGAAGGCCCCTGTAGCCCGGCCAGAGCGGGGCAGTCTATGCAGCCCAGCACTGCGATTCTGAAGATTGCATGTACTCCACTGCATACAAGCACTCCGCTTATCCGTATTGTCGCCGCCAGCTAAATACACTCCATAGTGCGCACCACGACACGCCATGCTGGAGCTGTACCTCGTCACCTTCAATGCGGCGCGCAACCTCGTCGACCCGCAGGCACTGGCGCCGTCCTTCTTTGACGCGCTCCCCAAGGAGACGCCCGTGCCAGACATTATCGCCATTTCACTGCAGGAAATTGCGCCCATTGCCTATTCATTTCTCGGTGGATCTTATTTGAAGCCCTACTTCGACCGCGTGACCACGACTGTCCAGCTTGCTGCCGACCTCCACAGCCAGGGCAGCAGCTCCCTCGAGCATGTGGCCACGCGTAGCCTAGGCATGACGGCCTTGATGCTATTTGCAAAGCCCTCCACTCTCGAGAGGATACAATGGATACAGTCTGCAGGTGCAGGCGTCGGCTTTTCCAACATGGGCAACAAGGGAGCTGTTGCGATGCGCATCGGCCTGGCGTGTCCCGGCGCCGACGACACCCTTGATCTCACCTTTGCTGCAGCCCATCTGGCACCCATGGAAAGGAATGTGGAAGCGCGCAACAAGGACTGGGAGGACCTGGTGCGCAACTTGGTCTTTGTCAATGGCGACGAGACCGCCTACAGCTCGAGCGAACAAAGATCCCTTCTAGCTGCCTCTCCAGATGCTCCCGCTGATTACAACGGTCTTTTTACGCCTGGAAACCACATCTTCTTTTATGGCGACCTAAATTATCGCACTAGTGACAGCCCGCCAGATGGTGACGCTCCCAAGTCCTACCCTCAGCCTACTGAGTCGGAGTCATCATCCAGACACTTTTCACATTTGCTAAAACAGGACCAATTGATTAGAGAGAAAGACGCTAAGCGTACACTACATGGTTTCGAGGAGCTCCCCATCACCTTCCCGCCTACATACAAGTACTCCACTTCCAAACATTCTCTAGCCGGTGAGGTTGAATCGTGGCACTGGTCAAAGCACCGATATCCCTCGTGGTGTGACCGGATCCTCTTTCTACGCGCCGGGTCTGCGTCGGACCTAGAACCCCAGATCTACACCGCTCTCCCTATCCAGCCCACGTCAGACCACCGTCCTGTTGCTCTCTCCCTGCGCGTCGATGAAAAGCCCATCAAAATGGGCATCAACGAAGTCTTTTCCCGTGCGCCCTTTGATATCAATCCCCAGTGGAAGGCCAGGCGGGATGCCGCACGACGCTGGGAAGTCATTGTGGGCGTCATGTCCTACCTCGCCTTGACCGGCAAGGGCCAGATCATCCTCATCACCTTGCTGGGTGTGGTAGCTGGCAGTCTGTTTTTGGCCGGGGCTTTGACTAGATGAGGCCGCTCTTGACTTGTTGCCACTCGCCAGCGTTGTTCCTCCAGCTCCATTGCTCAGCGAGATATTTTATCGTTGCCGCTGTTGGTATGCCCATGGTGTTCACCTCGTCTAGAAATTCTATCATCTTGAAATGTGCCATCTCATCGCTCAACAGCACTGCAAATTTGTGCACAGCATGTGCTGCTTTCCATGGTGCCGATATGCAGTGGGTATTGCATCGGGCAATGGCCACCATTTCCTTCAGTCCTCTAAGTATTTCGTCTTGTATGGATGCAACAACGCTGTCTCCATGGGGGTACGCAAATTCGGTGTCAAGGTAACTAGCTGCTAGTGCAATGCGACATATCCGCAAGTGTTGGTTTGCGTCAGCTTAAGCAATGTCAGTCATAAACATAGCGGGTTGATTGCTATTCAAACTCACCATGGCAAGGACTGGAGAACCATAGTTCTGGAAAGTATCCCGTAGCGTACGAGTCTTCTTTATAAAAGAACGCATCGAAAGTTGCTGGCCGCATCAATTCCCATTCATCAACAAGATTGCTCAAGTACTGCCGCTCGTCTGCTGTGCGATTATCTGTCGCGGCCCACTGCAAGATACGCGCATTCAACCATACTATTCTGTTGCCCCACGAAGCTTCATCTTCTGGTAGGGCTAATGCAGGTAGAATGGAGTTTCCATAATCGATGCGCAAACTCGAGCGATTGAGAAGCGCTTGACAAACTTCAGAATTTATGTGAATCATGAGACAAGCCTGCACGACCGGACTAGACATATCGAGCAACCAGCCCTCGGGGCCATGGAAAAGCTCATATGTAGAGAGGTGGGTTTGACCCTGCGTACCCGCTGATTGTTCGTCAGCCAAACATTTCACTTTCTTTGCTTTGTCACTACACACCGTGGAACTCTTCAAATGTTCTGAGAAGCATCGCCGTTACCAGCGTTGCCTCGTCCCCAATTCTGCCTTTCTCCGCTAGGTACGGAATGAGGTCCTGTAGGATCCTATCATGATACACATAAGGCCCGGCAGGGAAATGCGGGTCATGGCGCAAGACATGTTGGGCAGATGTCATGAGAATTGCATTCATAAGCATCGCATTCTCAAAAGCAAGTCTTGGAACTACTTTTTTGAACACGGCTACTGGACTTGTAATGTCGAGCGATACTGCGGCCTTTTCAATCCAGAAGCGAAATAGATACGCTTCGATTGGATCAGAGAGGGGCCAAGCTACGTCGGCAACTGAATTTGCTGCAGGGTGTGGACGTGGCGAAGGGCCGTCAGACTGTGAGTCTGCAGGCGATGGCTCATCGAGACTGGAATAATTGGAGACCGAGCCTGGAGCAGGACTCGTATGACGTCGCACATGCCATGGAGGAGGAACATGCCTCTGGCTGTCCGCAGATATTTGCGTTTGATTATCCCAAGTCCCACTTCGCAAAGACAAGCGTCGCTCTCTCGTCCGGGGACTTGTTGCCAATCCTGACAATCTCCCCGATGTCCGTGAACGAGTTACATGTTTCGATGTTCTTCTCTCGCCTGCAGATCCCGGATTTTTGCATTCCTCAGCTACAAGTCTGGACTCGTCGATAAAATCCACTGCAATACTGTGTTAGTGCTCGCATAATGCTTATCAGTCGCTCAGAAGTGACTCAACCGGTGGCTTGAACATACATTTACCCTCGGTACCAACCCATCTCTGCCCGGCAGCGAAGAAATAATCGTACTTTTTGATATCTGCTCTGGTTGCTTGACCTTCTGCATCCGGAAACACGCCATGTCGAAAGCGGACCCTGTAATTGGTCTTCTTCGGCTGGGCGCCTGGTGACAAAGACACACTCATCCTGCGTTGCAGTATAAGAAAACGATGCGAATAAACAGCCGTACTTCCAAAACAAGGCAAACCAAGACGATTCGGAAAGAGGACCAGCAATCTTGCCAAGAAGTCAAAATCAAGACAAGCAAAAGGTGCTGACGGTGCTCAATGTTTTCAACCAGCAACCGGGCAAGAGTTCGCCGCCTCAGCTGGTATTATGTACTGTGTCTGTCTGTCGCAAGCTACGCCACATCGGTAACTATGATGCACGGTGAATGGAAGAAACGGCACATGCGTATGCGACAAGCAATGCACCGCACATACACTTTCTTCTCGCTTCTCATATCAGAGGGATTTGATCATCTCCCCTTTCCCCTTTGGGCTTAAGGGCACGGATTGCTCTTCTCATCTGCAACCTTGGTCGCGATGATTCAGCACAATGGCGGTGCAGATTGGACGACGGCCCGATGTGTGGCCCCCCCAGTCTGTAGCGCGGACCGTTCCCGTCAGAGTGGAAGGCTTGTCGATGCTTGTGTCCGACTCTGAGCGCTATCTGGCCAACAAGATGGGAATCCAATATGCTACTCTCGAGTCCGCCTCTTCGACTAGTTTATATGAAGCCCAGGACGCGCATTTTACTGTTGTCCTTGGGGATATGTGACCAATCTAGCACACGATTCACCGATCTACCTCTGGGCAGCCAATACAGCCTACGTTGCTGCCTACCTTTTGCACCAATTGCCTGTATGCCTCAAGGACAGGAAGAGGCAAAGCGACGTCATACAACAACGGGTAGGGCTGATGTACCCCACGTCCGTCTTTCTCCCTTCCAGAAAGGCGCCACACGCGCCCTGCGCGCCTCCGACCAAAATCTGACATGTGTGAATAAGCAAGAGTGATTAAAAATGCGGATTCGATCACCAAAAGCAGCCCGTATCACGCGGACATACACATTGCTGGGCGACGAGACAGGCTCATCCAGCCTTGTCGCATTATTAATCCAATACCATAGAGTTGCGTCTCTTGTTATCTTTGAGCTCCAGTTCTGCGGTACGTACATACGCATCTACAGACATGTGCGGATTGGCTGGCTGCACCCCATATCGCCACGTGACGTATATCAGCCTTGCTGACACCCCACCAGCGAAGCAACCACCAGTATCAATGACCACATTGGGACACCGCTTCCCTTATTCCCGCTGACAGCAGCGCAAATCTCATTTTTAGAGCCTCAAGCTCCCCTGTTCCCCATTCCCGTCAGCAAAGCGAAAAAAAGGTACCTGTTTGTCAGCTCTAAATACAGCTCTCCCCCGCGGAATTACCCCGCAAACCACTAATCGCGCGAAAAAGATAGTACATAGTGTTTAGGAAAATGGTTGTGCGCTATCTTTAGCAGAGGGTAAGGGAGGTGGTGACTAAGTCTGTATCTTTTTCTAGCATACATATGAAGTGTACACCCTAAGTATGCCATCCGAATATCGGTCCGCACAGTCTAAAGCCATGGCAAGCCGCACATCGCGGCATTCGTGCTTTTCCCCCTCCCCCAGCCGCGCAAACGCACACTTCTCTCTGGCACGAGGGCCATAGGAGGAATCATGTGTGACGCCTCTCTTTCGAAGACGTGATGGCGGGAGGGGAGTGTGGCACCCAAGAGGGGGCAAGCGGCTTGCTTAGAAAGCGTTGGTGGGCCGAGGGATATCCGAAGGCTGCGATGCGCGCGCGCGTGTGTGTGTGTGTGTGTGGTTTGGGGTGATTGAGATTGTTTGGAGAGCATTTCTACGTGTGCAGCTGATGTAGGAGTAGATGAATATACAGAAGGTATGTTCCTAAGATTAGTTATTGTATAATTAGTTATTGTATAATTAGTTATTGTAGGGTTTTGAGAGTGTCGCTGATTAGAGGGATTCGGGAAAGAAGAGGTAGGATTACATTTTTCCATTTGGAGAAAGGTAGATGATGTGCGCATCATCGATATTATATCTTTTGTGACATTTGGGAGTTAGTTATTTGGCAGAAAGAGTGTTTCTTGCTCGGAGGAAGCTGACGTTTCGTGTTGTGTATAGAGAACAGGGGTCTGTACTACTCTACTTCTACCGAGGAATATCTCACGGTCAGCTACAGCCGTACTTCCCTTATGCACAACCATCTTACCCATACCTAATGCCGCAAATATTTAAACCCATATTGTATGTACTCATACATGCATAACTATGCAGCCCTTCCTCAAACACCAGCTCCACTATTTCCTTCGCCGGCCCATCAACCCGTTCGTCCCACATCGATACGTAGTCCCGAACTACTCTTAGGCTATTACATCTCCATCCCCACAACGCACAAAACCCCCTCTTTTTAGACTGTCTCCTTCTCCACCACTGCTTCGCCACAAGAAAGAGTCTAGATTCATTTCCAGTCATCGGAATGACGTCACCAATACTCTCAACGATCCCTTTAGCGCCTTCCCCAAGACCAACCCCCTAACTAGTATGTATGTAGTCTCGGAAAAAGGGCAAGCCGGCAAATGGCACAAATGTCAAGCCGACTAAGCCACCCGCGAGTCAGTTGTATAAAATATAGCTTCCATAACTATCGATATCAATAGATTACAGAGGCTTTTCACACTAATGCATCTCAGAAGGCCGGAGCTGGGGAATACATAATACTTAAAACAAATAGAATGTGTGTCATGAGTCAGCCAACTGCTCAGACAGCAAGATCATATTTCAGTACAGTACCATCACCCGTAAGTTCACGTCGGACAAGAATGATTTCAAGCTCCTGGACCGCAACGGCGCTAGCATGTACTCCGTTGCCGCCAACCAGAAGCAGTAGCAGAACTTGGCCGCTACACTCGATTGCAACAAGAAGTGGTGATTACTCTCCAACTTAATTCGTTACAGGGCCAGAGACCTAGTAGGCACGGGTCATAACCTTCATGGCTTCTTCGTCACCCCACTCTGGCTGCGTCCGGTAGTGGATATTGTTGACTGAACACTCTGCCACAAGACCATTCTTGCTTGAATCGGCCAAGAATCCATCCACAGCGCGCAAAATGGTTGATGGAGGCGTTATTAACTTCCGCATGGCGTCCGTTATCGTCGACCCATCACCCATACCGGTATCAACCATGCCTAGCGCTTTGTTAAACGAATTCTAATAGAATAAAAATAGCTATGGATCCATATACCTGGGCATATGCAGTTGACAGTCATAGGTTCCCCCATCGCTTCGAGCGTCTGGGCGAGGGTTCTAGTTATGCCGACGACCTAAGGAAGATTGTCAGTGCCTGGGGAGCAACCATATCTGTGTGTGGGGCTCCGTGGAATTTACCCCATGCTTCGCAGCCGTGTACATCGGAAGATGCAGTGACGGATAGAGGCCCGCCAGACTCGCCGTTGAAACCAGCTTCCCAGTTTCACCGGGATTCTTGCGGAAGTAGTGCAGTGCAATGTATGCCGAGTAAACTACGGCAGTCAGGCAGATGTCAATAACCGATGTATCAGGCTTCATGGGCGTGCCATCTTCTCGTTCCTTAGCCAGCTCGTACATATTGGTCCTGTCGAGAATGCCCTTGTGTTTCCGTCAGTCAAAATAAAAATGAAAATATACGACATGAATCATAACAGAGAAAGACAAAAGGGCAAAGCTGACCGCATTGGCAAATACAAAATCGAGCCGTGACCATTGCTTCCACGTCGCGACAAAGGCTTTGGCTTGCTGGTCGTAATCCGCAACATCAGCACGCGTAAAGAGAGCCTTATCCTCCCCGAGATCCCGTGCTGCTTTCCGCCCACCCTCTTCGTTGTAGTCGACAATCATAACGTTCCAGCCTTGCCCGACGAGGTGCTTTGCGACAAACAACCCTATGCCCGAGGCTCCACCCGTAATGAGCGCCACTTGGGCAGATGTCCGTTCTGTCGAAGTCATTGCTTCACGGGTGAGGTGGGGAGGAGTCTTGTGAGAGGGGAAAAGCAAGCGAATAAGCGTCTTGCAAAGGGAGAAAAAAAGAAACAACGAGCGTTCTTTGCAGAATTACTTACATGGTATCAACAACGGACGATATATGTATACAAACCGTAGCCGTCATTTTCACTCATATTTACTCACACTCAACCCTAAACATCCCTCTCGGGCCTTTTTCCCCGCACCAGCATATAGTACTACTAGGCTTAGCATCCGCTCTACTACGTCCTCTTTTGACATACTACATAGTAGCAACCCCAGTAATCCAAGTACATCTTTTATATTAAAAAACCCCCTCCCAGTAGTGGTAGTAGTAGTAGTAGTAGTAGTAGTAGTAGTACGTAGTTTCCCCCCCTCCTTCTGCCATCTCTCGCACCACCCTCAATCCGAGAATACTAAAAAAGCGCCGTGACAAGCCCAAAAAAGGACAAGTAGTGTGTGTAGTAAGAGCCCATTGGTTGCTCGGGACGGAATGTTCGCCCAGGTGCTTCATCCTACGGACAAAAACTCCCGGGACTCCAAAATGTGTAGGCTTGTTTTCCCTTGTCGGATTATTATTATTATTACTAGTTACTTGTCGAAGGCCTTTTTGGAGTGTTTTCTTTTCTTCAATGATATTAGAATGGTTACTTTAGGATATGCAGGAGATAATGCGGTGAAGAAATTATTCTTACTAGTATCATTAAAATACTGTGGTGGTGTTACAAAGGTCTAGAGTTCCCTCCTTTTCTGAAGCATTGTCGATTTTCGGTAAGGTACTTTACTTCTTTGAAGTCCCCGGAAATTCCGTCCATCAGGTGAACAGGGAGTAAGTATACAGTAAGATAGAGTATTAAATACTAGTTAGAAGTAGTTAAGGTGGAAGTCTTATCTAAACACTATCTCCCTTCTACCCCGTTACCCATCTACTACCACCTTATTTAAATTCAACACATCTTTTGCTAGGAGAATAGTCGCTCTGTTTTCTTTGATTCTAATTGAGAAAAGAAAAACACTTGAATGCGAGAGTTTACTTGGCCAGTAGTACCACTATTCTCCCCTCTATGGACCAAAACCATAAAGATAAGAGTCAGAAAATAGTGACAGAAAAAAAGGGACCAGGAGAAGTTTGGTACGGTACGGTAGACGGGGACGGAAAGCGGCGGGAGGACGGGAATGTTACGGAAAAAGCCCAAGATTGATGAAACGGATTTGTATGTACGAATTCTCTCTCTTAGGTGGACGAAATTATCGCTGGCTGGGTGCGTTGATTCGTAAGTACACACAGTAGTATACATGTTTCCGGGTTAGTGGGGTTTGGTCGCGCTGGCGGACTGGGGGGTTATTGTCAAGCGAAAGATGGGTGAGGGACTGTGTAACGTGGTGGTCGGGGGAATGGGTGTGCGGGGGAGTGGGTGATGTGGAGTTGTCACGATGAACTACACGTATACGCGATGAAACGCACCGGAAGCTGCAAGTGCATGGTGGTTTGAGGGGGTGGTATACTACTACAGCCGTACGCTGCGCGTGTGCGTCTACATACATGCTTGCGTTGGGCGTTGGGCTCTTTAGTCGCTCATCACGAGGGGAGTCGCATGTGTTGTACTACACATGTAATCTAACGCGTCGGGCAACCGGGGCACCCGTGTATTGGGTTGTTCGGTCTCTTACCCATGGAAATCTGTACGCCGACGTGCAGTTGACATGGCAACTTTGTTTGCGCCGCCGGTCGGATTTACTGCAAAGCTGATCTGCAATGCGCGGTAGGGAGAGAGACAGGAAGTATGGGCAGGTGTGCATAAGCTTTGGGCAGGGAGAGTGAAGAGCACGTACTACATGCACTGCCGGACAGAGACGACCGTGACTATTGTTGCCAAGGCAGCTTTGCGACAAAGTAGAGCATTGCTATGACTAAAGATTTGCGGCATCAGTTGCCGTGGCTTGTTGTTCCCCCTTCACAGCCGCCATTTTTGCAACACCAAGATTCAGGCCTTTGTCTCTTGGCCAAGGGCGCTTGTGCGCATGGTTATGGCGTCGGCTCATCCCAAAGCGGACCAGACAACTGCGGTGCCGAAGCGGCGACACATTCGGAGTACCTCAATAGAACACCGACAACACGATCTCTAGTTAACTAGTACTATTTTCTTTCGTAATCAACCTCGTAAAACTATACATCTTTGACTACATACAGAATAACGCAGATCACCACGATCGAACTTTAGGCCAGACCTGACTGTCTCTTTGCACTACGTATTTACTTCCCTTCACACAGCACGCGCTTGGGCTACTACTTTACAAGCCACATACGTCACCTTGCAGCGGGTCTCCAACTGTTACGCTGCACCGCGCCCAACGTACTCTGTTCAAAAAAAACCCCCACCTTGCATGCAACACGTTTTAACCCCTGGCGACTTGCGCCCTCCCTGTGACCTACTCCGCGGCCACCCACCCACGTTGGGGGGAGGGGATGCGATCGCCAGCCAAAACTGCGATCGCGGCGCTTGTCTAGACCACATGTTTCCCCCAGCCAGGCCCTCTGATGTTGCATCTTATTGTCGATCTATTTGTCTGGACTATGTGTCTGTGTCTTTTTTTTGCTGGCTGGCTGGCTGGCTGGCCCTGCTCTTTCATGCTTTTCCTATGTGGAGTCTCTTACGCTCTTAGTTCCGGGGGGGATAACGCCGACGCGGAACCGCAGTTCTCTCTTTTTTTTTTTACCTCCATCTATCTAACGTTGGTTCCCAGCAGAGAGAGGGGACGGCACAATAGTTTAGGGAATTAGTGTCAAAGTGATGAGCGCTGTGGAACTACTTTGAATACGGATGCTGCGTAGGCCGTTCGGCGTCGCTTTTGGGTTTTGCTCGTAAAAACGTGTCATACCGTGATTATACCGTTTTGTTTTCCGCGCAGGTAAAAGAATAGGGAGGGTAATCGCTCGGGGATTAGAAGAAAGGGAGAAAGGAGTGATAAAGGGAAAAAAGGAGAGTGAGGCGAGCGGTTCGGGGACCTCGTGTTCTAGGCGAGGCTGTGGGGACGGAATCCTGGCCTCTATCCTTTTTTTTCTTTCTCTGCATTCCTTGTCTTACGTATGGCTTCGTTTTCTACTCGCTTCTTCTCTATCCCCGCAAAAAATGGATACGCAAGGGAAAAATAAACGAGGCTGAATATTGGGGTGAGAGGGTCTTTGCTGCAAGTCATGCGTCACGCGTAGCGGGAATAAAGTGCAGAAAAAACTTGGTCAGGTGAGGTGGGTTCAAGAACGTTGGAGTGCATTTGGTGTGATTGTATTTCACTGCAAGTGCAAGATAGAAAGAGAGAGCTCGCGCTTCGGTTTCCAAAACGACCCAATCATAGGTATATGCCAAGTTTTCCTCCAAGAGTAGCCTGTGCTGGGGGCGGATGGGTGCATGGCCCCAATCGACGCCACATCATGCACACCCTGTCTGCCCAAAACGCTTGCAACCGAGTCTTCCCGAAGAGAAGAAAGAAGAAAACAAAACATGTGAATGGAAAGTGTAGCGGTGTATGAATACAAAGTGTATAGAGAAAAGCAAGAGAAGAAAACGTCCAGAAAATCTCGCATGCCCGTGTAAATGCTAACCAAGTGCGCTGTCTCGCGCCGTTAATCCCCTAAGATAGGCTAAAGCCAAAGCCGGCCAAAAAGGTGGGAGAAGGAAGTGTTGCCAGAACACCTGTCGTCAAAGTCGCTAATGTCTGAATAAAACTCGTATTTTCGTGAAAGATTGATGGAGTTGCATGTTGCTTCGCAAACGGACTATTGTGTCCTTGTTGATGTCGACGAGTTGTTGAGTTGAGATAGAGACGCGAACGAGTTTGTCATTGCTGAGTAGGCAGCTGATGGCAGCGCGTTGGTTGAAGATGTGGATGAGGCGCTGTTGCTTCGGACTTGTAGGTTGAGAGTGTGGCAGCTGTCGCATCGATCGTTGAGGCGGTTGCAACGGCCTCGGCAGCCTCGCTCGTAGTTGGCGCAGGAGAACATTGTAACTTGAGAGGGTTGAGGTGTTGTCGAGTGTAGTGATAGATGTTGGTAGCAGTGGTGATGATGACGATGTGATATTGTAGTAGCGTGGAGTGGCTGCGTTTATGTATTGCTCGGACTTAATAGCGTGTTGGCCTTTAGGGAATCCTTCAAGCCGAGGGCGAGACTTCGTAATATATGGGGCAGACGATAGTGAACGCCCGATGATGTAAACAGGCAGTTGCAGATATGCAGGGTAATTATTGCGTACTTGGGCCGAAAAAGTAGCCGTAATCGATGGTGTCAGTTGGCGTCGCTTGGGTGCATGCAGAACGGGCCCAATATAGCGCCTTGATTGCCGGATCTAGCCAGGGAGAAAATGAATAGTCGGGCTGACAAAGTCAAGAGATAGGATGTGCGAACAAGATGTGGGTGTGTGGACAGGCGGCTTATATCTTGAGCTTGCAGATTAGGAGGAACCTGCGGGCCTGGAAGCTAGTAGTGCTATCTCTTATATCCAAACTTGACGTATACCAAGGCAAAGCCTTCCGTAACGCTGGAGGCTGCAAGAGGCTCATGACAGTTGACGCGTCCAAGGGAAGAGTGTGTCATCGTAGATTATACAGTGGAGAGACCCGCGGCCAGACTGTACTTGGCCAGTGCGTTCTCACTCGCCAGCCCAGGGTCTCCGCCGAGACCCTGGCCTCGTTGCCCATCGACCCAACCAAGCGCCCAAATCTTGATTTCTGCCAAAGCCGTGACTTCCGGCAGCCATCATCGTGTGGCTTGCACCAAACCATTCTTTCACCGGACATGGACGGTGTACAAATGTACATACGTACCCAACACCCGCCCCGCTGCGAAGACTGACGTTTCCCGCCATTTGGTGACTTTGACATTGTGCTGGCAGCCCGGAAGGTACGTGCCATATCTTGCGACTGTTTCAAGCGACGATGTGCTACAGGGACCGGGCTGGTAAGCTATGTTTCGCACAATTTCTCTCAGACGGCCTTACGGGGCTGAGGGCTTACTGTGTACTGTACTTGCCCACAGCAGAACGTGCATCTGCATTCGTCCTCACCTTCGTCCAGACGTGCCAGAAGCCTCTAGAGTAGACCTAAGCCCTTTGCGATTACGCAGTGCCGCAGTCTAGGCGTCTCACCCTCCACATGTCGCTCGTCCGCCGTGACCTCTCCTGACCCTATTTACCCGGCGTGCAGCTCCCAAATTCAACAATTGCCGTCAAAGGCACCAAATTTCGGACTTTGATAACGATTACATGTCCGATCTGTGCCGCGTGGGTGCTGATGCGTACCCTCCTACCGCTCTTCGCCACACCTCAGCACCTCCCGTTCGCGGCTCGAGGCATTAATATGAGGATCAGCGTTCCCACCTATAGAACCAGACTTTCGCCTTGTGGCCTTATGTCCGACACACATCCTCCGCACGATCTGGCCAGATTCTGTGGGGCGTGCAATCTTTCTGCTGCTGTGGAAATTTGGTCCACGCTAATACTTGGCTCGCCGGGATCCGTAGCCACGCAACCATTACCATATTCTTGCTTGTTGGCCAGCCAGCCTCGTTGTTTCCGCGCGGCCATATGCACCTTTCGTTTCTTTTCCCATGGGAAAGTCACTTTGGGGTCGGCGTGAGCGACCCGATGAGCTGGGCGAGACTACTGCTGGCAATCAACGGTTTAATATCTTGTCACGTGAGTAGGCGGCCAAAATTGTATCCACGCCACACCCTCGCCACATGTTTCTAGTGGCCTCTGGTTTCATCCTAAAAATACCGATCGCGATAAAGCCGCTGAAAGCATGCCATACATCATCATGCGTGTTTTTTAGTCTTGTTCTCTAAACTTTGTCAATAACCTTGAACACTAAGATTCACCAGTAAGAGTGTAATGCTCTTTGAATTTGGTACGCACAACATCTCGTACGACATCCCTTATTGACCCTTGGAGGCAAAGCCGAACTTGCAGATGCTCGGAGAGTGATCAGGAAGCTTCGATGGTCTTGTTGTGTTGACTACTGCCGTCTACTACGTTAGGACTATTTCGAGCTCCTCGGCATTGTGAGAAAATCAGCTAAAAAGAAGATGTTCCCTTTGCAACGGTGCAACGGTGCAACTGCCGACAATCAACATGACGCAACTTGACAATATTGTTGGCTTACTTCCCTCACCCGTAAGCCGGCAAATGCGTACGGTTTTGCGCATCTACTTACAACCTTCATTTTATGTCGATTGACTTACAACTAATGCGATGCTAAGAGTGCATGGATTCACTTGAACATGTTCGAATTCCCTGAACTCGCAGGTACATATGAATGGTCACACATGCAAATTTGGCTGTAGGGTTAAACTTGGCGATTGAACTACAGGTTGTGTTCAGGGTGAGATTAGGTTCCGTCAAGAAGATAAGAGCACATGGCGGCATTGCGTAAATCTATCGATTGCTCCGTAACAAAATTCAAGGCGTCAATCCGAGAGTATTTTACTATCAGCCTATGGAGGCGTTGGGGTCGCTATCACCGGTGTCCGCCAGTAGGCGTGTGCTTCCATAGCAGGGGTGGCTGTCGAAGAGTTGTCATCAAGGCATCTGCCAAACCATCCTTTAGTAGTACAAGTCGTCGTGGTTGGCTCACTGGGTGTAGTCGTAATGGTAGTAGTGGCCGTAGTGGTTGCTGTTATTGTTACGTCTTTGCAGCCAAACCAGCCAGGCTGTACAAATTAGCAATGTTTGTAAGATTAGTCAACCAGGAAAACATACAGTCTGACAAGTGCTTGTACTCATTGTAGAAGTCGATGAACTAGACGATGTTGTCGACATCATGGTAGTTGTCGAATCCCGGCATCCCCACCATCCAGGCGTCTGACATGTTTCTGTCCGGGTCCTTGAATAGGTGGTACTTGTTGCTGTTGAGCTCGTTGTCGGCTGCTTATGTGTGCCGTTTTCAAACTTCCACAAGTAACAATCAACACACCCTACATCCTCTTCCTGACATGTTGCCGCTTCGTCGTATTTCATATAAACGTTCTCGATAGCGTACCTCAAACTATGCGTCTGTGTGCTTTGCCTCCAGCCCCAATCTTTAACCACGTCGTATGCACACTTCCTTCCGGTATGGCAAAGTGTTTCGAATGCATAGCCACCGATTGAGCAAAAACTTGTAGCTCCATTGCAAGTTCCCATGTATACCGGGTCAGCTGTGTGTCCAAAATGAAAGACTCCCGTGTCTTTCCTGGGCGGAGCAACGTCGCTAGCTGCTGGTAGTCCTAAGCGCTTCGCTGCCAGAGCCTGGGGATAAGCCTCAAATGTCACAGCAGGAATGCCATGTTGGAGACTGATCAAAGAAGCAAGTACTCCACCTAAGCTATGTCCAGTTGTCATGACGTGGGAATTCGGATAGAGCTTCATCACTTCTTGATAGAGCTCGAGAGTTGCGACATAGTACCGGTTTGGCTTCCGCAACTCGTCCTTTACACATTGTTCATCGCAGGTATAGGTACCCGTTTGACAGTCACACACTTTGCGCCATAGGTAGGTACCACCCTGACCGCAGCAACAAGACCCATAGAGGTTGTCGTTTTCCTTGTCGTGCACAGAGGTTCCGTTGCCTTCGAACATGGCTACTGTAGTTCCTTTGACGGCCAGAATGATGGTGGAGTTGGTGTCATCGCTGAATACATGGCCGCGGATGCCGCTATCATCCCAACCGAAGGGAACAGAAGTGTCATAGTCTTCATCCACATCCATCCACCCGGGATCATCGCGTCCGACCTTGTACGCATCCTCTGACATGTTTGCAAAACTGATGATGGTTTCCTTATCTTTAAAATCCGGACCCGGGATGTCTTCGGCCATCCAAATGGGGGACATGGGTATCTGGCTATCATAGCTGTTGAACGATGGCCTTTGGATCTTTACTGGTGCTGTCTTGATGGCGAAGGGTCCGACATGAGAATCAACACCAGCAGCTGCAAAGTGCTCCGGTGTGACATCAAACCTTCTAGCACGTGGTCCAGGTTGGCCGGCACCGTGGTTTATGACATGTCGCAATCTGAAGCTGTTTGGCCTCGGTGATGAATTGGTAGTTTCCGCGTCCGCTAAAGCCGTGGACCCACGGGAGTGGCCAAAGCCGGTATAGGCCCAAAAGATACCCGCAATGAGAGCGAACTGCACAAGGATACCAACGGCAAAGAGAGAACGCGAGGGCCTGCCTCGACCATTATAAGATGAAGTGTGAAATGACATGATATGGGAGCACTACAGGAGAGATGAAGGGGCGAGTGCTGAGGGTGTTATGATAAGCGCGTCGACGACGGCCAAGTCGCCGCCTTCCGCACGGTCATGGCTCGTGATCGAGACGCTACGACCAAACTGGTTAGTTGACTTTCCACGTCATCTGCTTTTACCCACGCGCACCGCTCATCTGCTGCCTGGAGATTCTGTCGTCTCATGTACGATCAAGCTCAACACTTGCAGACAGTAAAGGAGCATTCTTCTGTCAAGAGTTGCACCGTTGCACTGGCGTGGCGGCCTGGGCATCCCGAAAGCGTAAGAAATAGATGCAAGCTAATGCATCGTGTCCGTCTCCAGCCTAAAAATAAGCTAATAATGTTCGACCGTTGTCCAGTCATGCTTTCATTGATCAAACATGTTGGGTTTTGTTGTGAAAGACAAGTTCAGGTTGTGAAATGATGAGGCCCAGTCCGTGTTAGCAAAGCACTCATCGGAAAGCGGTGTTTGCAGAAGAGCAAGAACACCCAGCTATTTTGCGAAGTTCCTTAGGGAAAAAGCAATGACAGTAGAATTACAATATTTCGAGGTTTCGTAGGAATCTCTATATTGATGGCTCAGATGCCTTCGACTAGATCACCCTCGGTTTTGCGCGCTCTTTTCGATGCAGACACTTTCTCTTCTCAAAGTAAATACAGGTTCCTCTTGTGATCCATCTTCGGCCAGCAGATCAAATTTAGGGATTCCATGCTAAAATATAGATGGCTTCGAACCCGCA